AGTTATAACAGCAACCTTGCAACTCAGGGTAACGTATAAGACATAAATAACAGTTCTTGACTGGAATTGTCAAATCTTCAGTTTCCAACAATAGAAACTATGTATCTCCCTTGGCTTTTTATTTGACATTGATCTTCTCAAACTTGATGATAGCCCAATTGTAAGGGTGTGATCATGATATCATGGTTCTTGTTCCCAGCTTTAAAGTGTTGTTCATGTTATGTTCTTTTTTTTCCCTTTGTGGAAGCCTCTAACAAATTTTAAACATGAAGCTTGATGTAGAATTATGTGCTTTTTACCTTTATTCTTTATACCTGTATCTTTTAGGCATTTATATGTGAGAAAGGGATTAAATTCGTTCGACTTGATGGCAACGTACTTGGTAGAGAGAGGAAACATGCTGTTGAAACTTTTCGTTTCTCAACAGAGGTAACTTTATTCTTCCTAGCTGAATCTTTTAGGTATTTATATGTGGCAAGGGTAAAAAGTATTTGTTCACCTTGATGGCAAGACACTTGGTAGAGAGAGGAATGTTATTGTTAAATCATTTTGTTTCTTGACAGAGATTTATTTTGCAGCTTATTTGTCACCAATATTGGGAAAGATGAAACTTTATTAGTTCAGTGATGATGATTTCTTTGGAATTCATTACCATATATAGTTGTATTTGGAGGAATGCTTCTTAGTTTCTTTTTCTTATAAAATTATTATGATAATTTCTTTTTTTTTTTTGTAACAATTAGATGTTTATTGTTACTTGCGCCCATACTAGGTGATGATTGCAATAATTGGAATAACTGTCGGAAGCTGTGGGCTAGACTTTTCATCGTCACAGAATGTCATCTTCTTAGAGCTGCCAGAAACTTCAGCAGAAATGATTCAGGCTAGTCTTTTCAGCTTACATTAGTAACATTATGTAAAAAGAATATCTGACTTGGAATTTATGTTGTGCTGGGGAGAAATTTGTATTTTTATTATTTTGTTTTTCTATTCTGTATAAATAACTTCCTTATTTTACTGCCATCACAAGCCTCTGCTGACCAGGTATAGAGAAAACTAATAACTTTTATGTAGGAGGGAAGAGAAGGAAAATCCTTGTCTATCAGAAACTTACATAGGGTGTATTAAGAAAATTTATATCATACTGTATCATCATAAACTATACACTTACAATGTCTTATAGGCTGAAGATAGAGCTCATAGGCAAGGGCAAAGTAATGCGGTCAACATTTACATTTTTTGTGCAAAGGTATCTTCTTTCAGAATGTGCAAGCATACTTCTCAACATGTTCACATGAATGTATTTGTTTTATTTCCTCAAATGGTATTTATTAACTGATAAGTTTAACATGCATCAGGGTACATCTGATGAATCACGGTGGCTGCACTTAAATAAGAGTTTCTTTTGTTGTTCATCCATGACTAATGGGAAAAAGTATGCCATAAAACAGATAGAGGTCATCTGTCAACTTCTTCTGATAAGTGTTTAATATTGAGATGAATCTAGTATCACGTTTATCTTTAATTGAACTCCATGGCTCTCTCTCTCCTTAATTTAACTGAATTGACAGGTGGGCTCAGTTCTTCACCTGAAATATAATGATAATTCTCTGAGCGATTCTTCTATGGGAATTTCCACAGTTGACCTGAGTAGAAGTTCAGGTACTGTTCTCTTCAAAATGTGGGAATATAATTAAGGAGGACTAGACATAGCATACTATGGATTTGTTATTCACAGAAAAGAAGTTGACAAATCTGACACTGGCACAGTCAAGCAGACTATGCAAGCTATTGAAATGTATAACATAACAGCTCAAGGCAATGAAAGCAGTGTTCAACATAATCAGGTATGAATGTGCATCTGTTTTTAGATGGTTTTTTCTTTTTTCATATTATTTATCTCGTTTCTGAATTTCCTTGGTTATCATGAATTATTATTTGGTTTTTAAGTTCTCAAATCTCTTTCTTTAGACTACCAAGGATCACGATATGGATGGCGAGGAGCATTCTTTGATACATGAAAATCAAAATATCGATGGCCATGGAGAACATACAGAACAATCTAACACTGATTCTATCTGCAAAACAATAAAATCATACAATGACACACAGTTTGATTTGTTGGAGAATAGTGCCTTTGAGGTGTGTATTTGATAACTTTAATTTAAGCAATTCAACTGCTTGAATTCTTATAGTGATAAATAAATTGTTCCTCCTCTAATTCACAGGAGAAGCTACTCTCTGGAATGTCAAATGATGTTGAGGTTGTAGTATCCGAGCCAGTAATAGTTGATGAGCATTACAATACTCAAGCAGAGTGGCTTCGGTTTGAGGTAATAATACTTCATGTTTGGATTTCTTTTTAAGGTATCCTTTCGATTAGTAGACTAAAGTTTGATTACATTGTTGCAAGTGATCAAGGTGTTAAACTCCTCCCCCTTGTTTTGACAAAGCTTTCAAACCTGACCAAAAAGGCTAACTGATGTGCAATGTAGTTCTCAGTCCTGCTTACATAGCTGAATTGAACCACTTGTACAAGGCATTCAAGATGCAAAATATGTTTGATGATTGCCTTAAGGTGCCAAGGAGCATTGGAGGATCTGTTCAAAACACCAACGTCAAATTTGACCCAAATCTGTCATAATCCTAGCCAAGAAGCACAAAGTATTCCTTTGTCCATAGCATGGCATTCAGCATAAGAACTATTCTGAAGCTCAATGAAGGCACATCGAACAGCCACGAAATGATCCTGATTGTTCAATTTGCTAACGAAATCCCTGCATCACTAGCATCCAAGTGAAAAGAACCATCATAGTTCATGATGCAATTATAGGATGAGAAATTTGGGGGAGAACAAATGCTAGGAGAGCCATGTGTGTGGGGTAGTCCCTCAGAATGGTTTTAGGTTGCAATATAGTCATTAGTGGTAGATACCACTTTACACCTAATGAATGGAGAAGGACCTGGCCTAGTGGTTGTGATATAGAGTCATTTCTGTCGAGCCAAAGGCACCAAAGGGGGTGACATAATACGTAGCATAGGTCAAGCAGTGTCTTTACACTGCTCTTGACCCTCACAGAGTGTTGCCCCATTTCCTCAAATGACTTGAAGTTATAGTCAAGTTTAGCAGTGATTAGGTCTCAAAGTTCCTGAGCAACCCCGCAATAGAAGAAGATATGATTTGGAGAATCAGAATCCAATTTAGAAACAGGGCAAGGATCTCTTTGGAAATAAAGAATAATGGAAGGCAAGATCATAAGTAGGAAGCCTGTTCCACAAAAAGGTTGTTCATCTCATTAATATTCATAAAAGTAGGCCAGATAGAGACTGGTAAGTTGTCAATTTAGGAGTCATGTAATATGTTGATGTTGGTGCCTGTACCAACCCCTTTTAGGGAAACCCAAGCAAGGAGGAAAGGTTCTTCATAGACCAAGAGCAGTTTGAGTGACAGGTAGGGCTTCAAGGTTTTTAATCACCATATTTAGCCCTAAGAATGTGGACCCAAAGAAAATCAGCTTTGTTGATGAGGCAAAATCCTTTTAGCAGAAATGGTTCTTTTGACTGTCAAGTGGTCTCTTAGGCCCAAACCTCCAAGGACTTTAGGAGAAGTGGCTCTTTCCCAGCTTATTAAATTAAGCTTGTTTTTATCCATGGATCTATTCCAAAAAACCTCCTAGATATACGAACTACTCTTTTAAGCACTTTGTCGAATACGTTCATATTCATGAGGGTATGAATGAGGATAGAGTTGATGACAAAGTTGATTAGCACGGCAGAGGCCAAAATCCCTATCCAGCCCTGTGCCACCCGGGGGGTTTCAGGGTGCTGAGATGGTTGACGTTTAGCGCCGCTCGCTGCGGTCGTCGCAGCACGTGAAAATGGCCCAAAAACAGGCCAAAACTGGCCATTTTTGGCCGCATGGGTGAGCGGCGGACAGCGAGGGGCGACACCTTCCCTGTTATCCGAAAGCCCCATCCAGCCTTGTGCCACCCGGTATAGTGTCAAGCTGACATGTTTGATATTAGGATAGCATTTTTTGGGGAAAAGGATTTCAGACTTGGAGACATTGATTTTGAGGCTAGTGAAAGAGGAAAACAGATCCAGAGCTTAGAGAAGATTGCAGGAGGTGTGAGTAGCACAAATTGCAATGAGGAAGGCGTCAGCTCTTTGGATGCCACAAAATCTTAAAAAACAGAGGATAAAATTTGGATTATGATGATGAAGAGATACGGAGAAATAGGATCACCTTGCTTAATGCCTTTTTTGCTAGGGAACCAGTGAGAAAGGATACCATCAATGAGACATGCAAAATGGGGGAGGAGATGCATGAGTTAATCTAGTCAGTATATTTTGTGGAGAAGTTTATTTTCCTTAGGGTTTTGTTGATGGTAGTCCATGAGATAGAATGAAAAGTTTTTGGGAGGTCGAACTTTATAAGAATGAGAGGGTTTTTGCTAGTGGACTTAGCCATTGTATGAGCAAGCTCATTAGCGATGAAGATGTTATTGGATATTTCTACCTTTCACAAAAGTGAATTGCTCATGAGCGATGAGGAAGTTGAGTTTACTTTTGATATGGTTGGAGAGAACTATAGTAAGGAGATTGTAAAGGACATTGCAGAGAGAGGTTGGACAGAAATCTTCAATAGTGAAGGGGTTATTTTTCTTAGGATAAAAATGAGGAAGCTCCTGCCCCATTCCTTTGGAAGACAAAAATTTTCATGAATGTTAGAACAGCATCATATATTTGATGTTTGATCTTGTCCCGTAAGAATCTATATAATTCAACAGTAATGCCATCAGGACCTGATTTTTTCCAAGGTCCATGTCCAAGAGAGCATTATGGATTTCAAGTAGAGTGAAAGGTTGGTTTAAGTCCAATTGATCAGAGGGGAATAAATGAGGAAGGGCAGAGCATTTAGTTCAAACATCCTTGGTAGCTTTCTTGTTTTGAGTCCAGAGGCTAAGGTATGAGAGGCAAACTGGTTGACAATACAATGATTATCATAGATAGTCCATACTCAAGAACCAGAAAGCGAATGACATTCTTTCTTCTCCTAAAGGAGGAAAGCTGGTGAAAAAACTAACTGTTTCTATCGCCATCTTCGACCCATTTGAGTTTTAAGCCTTATTCCATCAGTAAAGATGATTATGTCTGTTTGAGGCAATGAGCTTGTTGTTGAGGGATTGTAATTTGCTTTTGTCCAAGTCAGAAAGATACAGTTGGTGTCCTTGGATTCTGAAGAAGTGATTTCCTCTAAAGGTTTGTTTTATTTTGTAGTCAAGTTTGCCTCATTAACTTTTCACCATTTGGATAGGGAATGAGAGAGGTGGGGAGGTTTCAAGTCGATGGAGCCCCAAGTATTAGGGTAGTTGAAGAATCATTCTATGCATTCTCAACAATCTGGGAGACCTCATCATATTGACAGACCTCCCAAGAGGATTGACATCTACAAGAACGGCGAATTATCAGATGTAACACAGGGTAGGTGTTTAACATTAGAGTTTGGAAAAACAGAAAGCCAGTAAGCGTTCATCAAAGCATGGTCAAGTCCTGCTAAAGTTCTGGAACTCCCATACCTGTTGTTGCTGCAGGGAAAGCAGGGTCCTTGAAAACCAATATCTTTAAGGCCAGCAGAAAAGGGATTTACGGTATCTTAACATCGTATGCCTGTACTGTTGTGCAGAATAGTGAACAATGAACAATGTATGGTATGCTTGTACAGAATAGTGAGAACATATTGACATTCCCAGTAATCTAAGATTCCAGGCTATATGTATTGCCATTATTCAACATGTCTAGAAGCCTTATATAGTTAATTTGTATCTTTCATCTATATTTCATCTATATTATATATAACAACAACAAAGCTATAAATCGCAGCTATTTGGGGTTGATTAACATGGATGTCGTTTAATTCTGTAAAAGCAATATCCTTAGAAATGTGTGAGGATGCACTTCTATGTTGATTTGAAATATGTGATAGGTCTTGCAACTATCAGATCAATGTTGATGTACATAGACATGATGCATATTTGGCAATGTTTATGCATTGCGGCTTCACAGTGATTTTTTTAATATGTTCTATGGATGCAATTATTATATTTTTCATTTTTAATATGCAAATGTCGTTGATCTGAAATACCAAGCCTTTTTACAAATTTTGGTAGGTAATCATGCATTGAGCTCTCTTTTTTTGGCGAACTTTATGGTTCTAATTACATTTCTGTAGTTTAGACAAGAAACTTCCATTTTTCTCATTTAGTAGAGAGCTATTTGGCAATTTGGCATTGGGACAATTTGCTGGTGGGATAGGCACAAGCAGATCTTGATAGTCTAATCAGTATACTGAACTACTATTTCTGTTTATTGTAATTGTTAAAACTCATATTTTTGTTACTCTTGTTTTCAGTAATTCAACCAGTAATCAGTTAAATCATATTCTTCTTTTTTTAATGATATTTGTTAGGTGAGCCAATATACAGGGCGGGTTCACTTGTACATTTGCATTCCTGGAACGGATGAAAGACCTAGACCAGTTTTTGAAAATTTTCGTCCAGAGGAATTAAAGTCAATCTTAGTTTCTGCTGGTAATACATTTAAGGAAGCAAGTCCAGAAACCCTGAAGACAAATCCTGCTTACTGGAATGTTATCAAGAAATTTTTTGAAGAATGGAATGGTTTAAGGCCTATTGAGCGGAATAAACTTCTTGGAAAGCCTCTACAACTTCCTCTTATTGCTGAGCTTTGCTATTTGAAAGATAGCATCAACCATGTTCATGGAGTATGTAGCTTAACTTTCACCATTTTTAAGAAAATGCATATGCTCTGCCTTTTTGATTTTGGTGTTGTTTGTTTAGAAGTTTCCTGAAAATTATTTTTTACCTGGACATACTAGAGTAACTCCCAAACTCTTTTAAAGGACAATTTCTTTTCTTATTTATTAGAGGAACATAGTTGGATCACTGGGAAAGCAGGTAGAGATGTCAGATGTCTGATATCAACATGAAATGACAGCATACTGATGTTTTAAACTTTTGCATAATGGGAGTGTGATGATAATGTATTAGCATGATATGTGGTGAATGGCTTGGATTGGTTTATCCTTTGTACATGCCCGCATCACTCCAGGGCTACAGCACTGGTGCGCCTTTCAGCCATGCACCAAACCACATGACCAGCGTGGACTAGACCTTTAACATACTTTAGATGGTTACAGATCATTTGCTCACTGCTGTTCATCTTTAATCAATAAATGTCTCTTGCACATCCTGAGCTTGAGTTTGATAATGTTAGTATTGACTATGTTAATAGGATATGGTTCACCACTATGGTAAATTATGTTATGGAATAGGCCTTGATTCGTGTTCCGCTAATAAAATATCTGAATTTGTCAGTATTATTACTTGCGTTAGATGTTTGGAAAAAATTGTTGCAGGGATTGCTGAGAGGTGGAAGTAATAGACGGGTTACCCCTTTAAGTGATATTAGCTGTCCTTTACCAGAAAATTCATTCTGGAAGAAGATTACTCTACATCATGGTGCTGCAAAGGAAAGAGAGTACAAGCAGGCCTGGACCACAGAAGATGTACCTCTTTGTAAACTTTGCCAAGACCCTTGCAAGTAAGTTATGTTAGCTATGAATTTAGTTGAATTTGCACTGCTATCATCTGGTGATCAAAGGCTACTTGTATCCAGTGGAAAGCTTGCAAAAGCACCCGAATACTTTGAAGATCTATTTTGTAACCTGAGTTGCTTTCAAGAATACCGGATAAGAACTAGTCGAAGCGCCCTTCGGGAGGTCAGTGACTACAGTTAGCTAGAACTATGCATAAGTTAGGGCTTTCAAAATTGTTTTTCTTATGCCACATATAAACATATGACGTGCAATTATCTGAAATTGGTGGTACATCAGGCACTTTTCCAAATAGAAAATGGTGTATGTACACATTGCAAGCTGGATTGTCACGAACTAGTCAAATGTATAAGACCTTTATCCAAATCTCGGCGGAAGGAATACATTGAAAAAGTTGCTCCAAAGTTGGCACAAAAGAAGAAGTTGTAAGTGATCCTGTGTAAAACAAGTTTCACTCCTTTTGTGATTTTAGCTGTTTGTTTTTTACTTTTTTAACAGTGTATGATCCATCTAAAGAAGTTATAACTGGACTACAATCCATCTAACTCGAGAACTTGTAGCTGAAGTTGCTAGGTCGAGATGCGCCATGATTCCTGGATTTATTTGTTTCTGTCAATTACTTTTGATGTTTCTAGTGTCAATGCTATAAATAGAGTGGGTCCTTCATAATATATCCTATTTTTTATGCAACTTTGCTATGTCTAAATGTTACTGGAAGGTAATGACAATCCTAATTCTCCTGTCCTGTATGTTTGTTATGTTTTGTGGACTAATCAAGCACCTATTCCACTCGACCTGCAGCTTGCTTCATACTACCTGGATGGAATTACTGTCTGGTACTTGGCTTTGATTAATAAATTAATTCCTATGCCTATAGTCTTTGACCTTGTCGTCCACTGAACACGAATGAGGAATTTCATTGATTCTCTTATTAGGCTATAGCTACATTTGGTTGCAAATGGTTCTTCTCTCTGGACTTTATTAGTGAACATGGACATAAATCATGATATTCATGTAAAATGAATCATGATGTAGACTGTATTATCTAGATTGAGTGCAGGAATTTATTTTGCGAACAATATTGCTTCAAAATCTAAATTGGTTTAACAAAATAGTGTCCAGATAAGTCATCTTTACATATCTTAGCATAAGTATCTGTAAATTTCATTGGTTCCTAAAATTAAAAAAACCAACTGGCTACTAGGCCAGGCTAGTTAACCAAAAAATCAGCTGGTTGGTTACCTTGTCTTTAAATATATCTGATTTGCACCCTCTCGTAGTTCTCGAAAAATTCAAAATGATCTGCACAATTGACTTGGTCCTCCATGTGAGCTGCATGTGACAATTCAGGACTCTAGCTAGCAACTCTTGAGTCAGTCTCCAGAATGATAGAAGTCAATGTCCTGTTTGCACTCTGAGTTCCTTCAAAAAGAACCGTGGTTTAGTGTACTGACACCAACATAGTAGTTATCAACCCTGCACAAACAATGGCACATTATGGTAATGGATGAATAATCCAACTCCTCCTTAGGAATCGCCTTAGGTAGAGCTAAATGATGTGAATCATTGGTGTATCCAATCCCAAATAGTTGGAAGTTGGGACTATAGGTTTGTTGTGTCATTTTGTTTGCTTGGGATATTTTTGTCTAGTTTCTTAGTTACTAAACAAAAAGAAATTTATAAAGTTAAAGCACTATAAGAATGGATCTTGGCTAGGAGTGAGGAACAAACAAAATATGAAGAAGATTCTGGAGTGATTGACATGCACCTTTTACAAGCTTTCCTACTAGTTGTTCGATTTGGGTCTTTTTGGGCATATGGTCTGACTTCTGGAACATGTTGTGTGTACCACTTCAGGCTTGATAAGCTTGTCCATGAACCAACTGAGGGGAATGCCTGGCATGCAGACCACATAATTCCGGTATACAAGGGAGGAGGTAGAATACTGATTAAACCATTTTTATTTGCTCCTCCTGTGATTGTTTCAGAAAGCTAATCTTTTAAGTGTTTGTAAATGACAGGTGAATGTAGCCTAGAAAATATGAGAACCTTGTGTGTGGCCTGTCATTCGGAGGTCACCATGGCTCAACAAGATGAGCGACGCTTAGAAAGGATGCAGGCCAAAAAGCAACTAAAAATAGCCATGAAGGAACTGGAAAATATTAAACCTTTTAACTCTACTGCTGATGTTAGTATTAGATTATTGAATCTGATCTGGAAATTTATTTTTTCTTTTTTTTTTCATTTTGTTAACAGCCGGATTAATCGAGAGCCTATGAATTTTTATGTAAATTCTGCTTCCATTTTGCATAAGCTAAATATTGAGAAATGTTAGAAATAGGGACTGCATTACAGAAAATCAAACATGGCACTGGAAGTAGGAATAGACTTCTAGAGTGGGCTTCCAATTTTTGTTTCTGTTGCAATGGACAGGTATTTTTATCAGAAAGTAATGAACTTGATGGTGGGACTTAGCTTAGTAGCAGCATGCAGTTAGTAGTTCATTCTATGTATCTACTTTAGTCCTAATTAAATTGTACAGTTTATAGCTATCAATATAAATGTCACTATTTTTTTCTTGATCAACAATAATGCACTAAGTTCTTGTTCTAGACATGGAAATGTGAATCTTGTAAAAATGAACATATTGACCCTGAACAGGCTAGAACAACTATGTTTGATCAACATTATGCCATCTAATTTCCAGATTTGTTTAAACTTTTGTTTTAATGATTATTTTAGGAAGGTGGAGATAAACAGGTTGCTGAAGAAGACCCTCTGTTCGTCAAGGTCCCTGGTAGTGTTTATTCGAGAAATGAGCAATGAAGATTCGAAAACTTCATTGAAATGCTGCATCCTAGAGCTGGTCAGTGTTCTAACATTTTTCAGCCATTAGCTCTATAGCATCATTTATAATGCTGTATGATTTCAGGAACATCATTTTAAGTGGCTTGACTTAACTATTTCATTGTAAACCTCATAAATGGCCTAATAGCTATTTTTCTTGATGTAATCCGAAGAATATGAAGATAGAGAAAGTTAAACCGCAGGCTGCTGATGTAGGCAACTGCAAGTTTCTTTTCCTCATTTTTATTCTTTTGGCTATGTGAATGAAATATCTATTCTGATGTCTTTGATCTAAAATTCACTTTGAGCATAAGCAACTGTCATGTATTATATTCATAATCATAACTTACCATGCATTATTTATTAGTTCTGTTGTTCAAAGGACTTTTTAGGGAAGTAGACTTGGAGAAGCGGGTGGAAAATGTACTGTAGAACAAGATGGAATTACTTCCAGAGGAATGTTTATAGCGTCTCCTAGAAGATAGAAACAGTCATGATTGTGACCTGGGTCATGGTGTCCGCACAGAGCTTTATCTGATTTCGACTACGTCCGCTGCCTTCCATGAGCATCCAGTGCTACAGCTTTGGCACGCACTTGTATTCACAAGGTATTGTTCTTTATAGTCATTGTGGTCATTCTGTACATAGCATCACTCTGCTTTATCGATTATGATATTTTTGCAGAAATTTCTGGAAGCTGAAGAATTAGAAATCAAAGAAACAATCTGGTGGCCAGCCGAAGGATGTTTGCGATTTCATTTAAAGATCACACCAGGAGGGTAAACAAATGAAATTTAAAACGTTGACGCCATTGAAGATGAGATATGTTGTTCTGTTCCGTCTTATTCTTTTCTTTTGGGGAGGGGAGGTTAGATGAATATTGTGGTGTTTCTTTATGTTTCGGAGTTTGGTGTATGCATTTTCAATTTGATGATCCAAGATTGGTTTCTAAAGAAGGATTCTTCTTGCTAAGTTTAGAATAACTATTGAAATTGATGATTGAGTAATGTGATTTCACATAAATTCAAAGGTTAATTATAGATTATCCTAGGTAGTTAGACATTTTGAATATTCTGATTGTTGGGTTTAAAAAATTTATATTAAAATTCTTATAGTTATTAAAATAAAACATATAATTTTATTTACTTTAATGTCATTGATTTTATCGACAAAAGTATAAAAATAGATAAAAAATTTTAATGTCATAATTATGTTTTTAGTGGTGATGAACGATGACGTTGGTGGGGGTCATGGGTGGTTGTTCTACATCTGTGTTGATATCGATATGATACAGGGAAGGGCGCATTAATCTATATTTGTGCAAGTGTCGATGCAAATGCTAAGAGCAGCGACATCTGTGTCGTTCTCTTTTTTTTCTTCCTTTGTCTCATCTCTCGTTGTTTTTTCTCTTCATCCACAATAGCCACCCAATGGTATCATTGTCCGTCACCATCGAAAACATAATTATAATATTAAAATTATTTTTTTATCTATCATTTTCATGCTTTCGTCGGTAAAATTGACAACATTAGAGTAAATAAAATTAGATATTTTATTTTTATAACTATAGAAATTTTAATATATTTTTTTTAAATCTAGGGATTGGGGTGCTAAAGAGATCTAACTACAAAGTACCAAAATCATGTCGTTTGGGCTGAACGTAAGGGCAACGTACTAAATGATGATAAATAAAATGTTCAAGCACCAGATCGAGAGGAATGTTAAAGTATACGTAAACAATGATAATTAAGAGTAGAATGACCGACTCATATTTGTTAAAGTTGGCTAAAACTTTTCAAATCTTAAAGAGGTACAACATGCGTCGTAATCCGACCAAGTGTGCTTTCGGATTTAGCTTGGGAAAGTTCCTCGAGTTCATCATGCACTAGAGGGGATAGATGCAAATCCCGAAAAGGTACGAGCTATATTGGAGATATGCCTACCTCGGTCGATCAAAGAAGTCCAACAGCTAATGGGGCGAATAGCAGCACTGAGTCGATTCCTACCCTTCTTTCGAGCCCTAAAGGACCCGAAGGGTTTCTTGTGGACCTAGGAGTGTCAGGAGGCTTTCGAAAGACTAAAGCACTACCTCGCCCAAGTATCATAGTTCTCCTCCACCTTGGAAGAAAATCTCAATCTCTACCTCATTGTCATCGACCTGGTTGTCAGCTCCGTGCTAGTCCGAGATGACACAGGAATTCAAAAGCCTATTTATTACGTTAGCCATATCTTGAGTGGACTCGGGGAGCGATACTCACCTATAAAGCAACTAGCATTTGCACTAGTGCTCGTGGCAAGAAAGCTTCGCCCATACTTTCAAGTGCATGTCATACAGGTCATTACCGATTAACCACTCAGATAAGCAATGTCTTGATTTTACGTTTTGAGACGACTGCTAAAATGGTCCATAAAGCTGAATGAGTTTGACATAAAATATGCCAAGGCCTAGGCTTTTGATGGCTCGACTACCTCGGAGAGGGGCGATGCCAACCTTGTCTTAAAGGGCCCAAACCAATAGGTGCACAAGCAAGCCCTCCAATTCGAGTTCAAAATTTCTAACAATGAAACCAAATATGAGACACTTCTCTTGGGACTCCAACTTGCCTGGAAACTCTAAGTCCAAGAACTGACGATGTTTAATGACTCACTAGTCATAAGCCAGGTAGAGGGAAGCTATGAAACCCGAGATGCGATCATGGCAAAGTACCTCACTGAGGTGCAAAGATTAGCTCACAGCTTCTCCCAACTCCATGTGTTTTGAGTTCCCCACGAAGAAAATACTCAAGCAGATGAGAAGCTCACAGCTTCTACCCGGACTCTCGAACAAGGTTGGCTATTGGTCAAGACGCTATTGACCCGAACCATTGAGAAGTTCAACATGGCCATGGTTAAGGAGGAACCGAGCTGGATGAATGAGATCTCATACTAAAAGAAAGACGAGACACTCCCAACTGACATTGCAATGGCCCGAAGAGTCAAACACCACCAAACATGATATTGCTTAATTAATGATCGTATGTATTGCAGGTCCTTCATCCAACCGCTCCTTGGATGCTTGACTCTTCAAGAAGCTGAGAAGGTGCTTACTAAGGTGCAAGAGGGTATTTGTGGAGAGCACATTGGTAAACGAACTCTCGCCTTCAAGGCACTTTAGCAAGGGTTCTACTGGCCCACACTACATAAAAATGCGATTACTTATGCCCAAAAAGTGCCACATGTGCCAAGAATTTGCTTGGATACCATGTCAACTAGTAGTCCCTTGAGCTCAATCGATTGTGGGTGGTGATTCAACCCAAATGAGGTATGGACTTTCTCGGGCCCTTCCTGTCGGCTTTGGGCCAACGAAGGTTCCTTATCGTGGGGGTTGATTAGTTCACGAAATGGGTAGAAGCCAAGCCATTGGCATCAATAACCGAGAAACAAGTTAAGGGATTTGTATGAAAGAATATCATCACTTGCATCGGGATCCTAAAGGCCCTCATCACAAATAATGGGACTTAGTTCAACAACTTGAAATTCAGAGAGTTCTATCAGTCTTATGGAATTCAACTAAGATTCAACTCGGTGACTTATCCTCAAACCCATGGTCTTGTTGAGGTCATCAACCAAGTCATTCTCAAAGGTCTCAGAAAGCGAGTCGTCGGATTAAAGGGTACCTAGGTGGACGTGTTGCTATGCATCCTTTGGGCTTCCCAAATGATACCTAAGATCGGATTGGAAGAATCATCATTTAGCTTAGCCTTCAGTATCAAGGCTGTCTTGCCACCCAAGATAGTCTTCCTGACCCATTATGTCGAAAACTTCAATGAGAAAGCCTATCGGGCAGGACTTCGAGCCGGACTCGACCTAGTCAATAAGACCCGAGCAGTTGCACACCTACGAATGCTGAGATATAAGAAGGTGATGACCAAGCTCTACGATTGAGATATTCGCCCTTGGGGAATTTGGTTGGGAGACCTGGTGCTCTGTAAGGTCAAGATAAGTGACCTAACTTGATCCCAAGGCAAGTTGACACCAAATTGGGAATGATCATACTGAGTTATCAAAGTCATCCGAGACAAGACATATCTCCTCGGGACAACAGAAGGTGTAGCATTACTAAGAACATGACATATCTCAAACTTAAAAAAGTTTTATCCTTAAGGCCCCCCTCGAGGTTCGGTCAAGGTACACTTCAAACTTGCAATACATGTTAAATAAAGGGAAGGCGCTACTTTATTACTCCAAGAAGCATTACATTAAATAGATTGGATCTCTACAACCAAAATAAGATACCGATCTATATAAACAAAAAAAGAACCAGGAACTAGCATCACAACTTCAAAAGCGATTCGACAATAGATCAGGCATCCGAACAAGGTGGTGAGTCAAGTTATCATCAAAAGGCATCTTTCTTTCCATCTGGACGTTCTGGTCCTCGAGGTAGTCGATCAACAGGTTCTCCTCAAGCTCCAACTTGGGATTCCTCGCCTTAAAGCAGACTAAGGCGACCATGTATCCAAACTTGTACAAGGCAACCCACGACCTCTCCAGCCCCTTTCTAATCCTACAGATGCCTTGTAATCGATGACCGACTCCTCCCGATACCTCAGCACCTTACCCAACTCGGCCTCCGACATCTCCCCCAACTCTCGAGCTTGCTCCTTCATCGCAATAGCCTTTCCCTCAAGTTTCGAGTTGTGTGCCTTCACCAAGTCCAGTTCTCAGACGAGCCCCAATAGCTCATCCTCCATGGTTACTGCCCCAGACCTCCAACTATTTAGTAAGGGTAGCAAGCTCTCGCTCGGCTTCCTCCAGCTTTCACACCAACTCGACCCCCTAAGCATTTGCCTTAGCAATGGCAGTGATAGAAGGGTCAACTTTTGCCTTCTTTAACTTCTCGACCTCTACCTGAAGGTCATCATTTTCTTGAGCCTAATAGTCAATAACGACATTAACATCTCATACCTGATCAAGGAAGGTCGTCACATAGAAATGGTGCCACAAAAGTAATGACGAGAAGTTAAACAAAAAAAAAAAACATTTGAGAAAGCCAACTATGGCTCGGCTTACCAGACTCGACCTGCGTGAAGAAAAATTTACTATGGTAAAAGGTTGGGCCAAATGGCGCCTACGACACATGAGTCAAGAAAAAACTGACTTGCACTGAGCAAAATCCACTACGGCAAATGCACAAGGGAAAATGCGCTCGAGACGCATGAGTCAGAAAGACCCGATCTACGTGAAGAGAAATCCACTATGACAGAAGGTCGAGCCAAATGATGCCTGAGGCACACGAGTAAAAAAAAATCCAACTCGTGCCAAGCGAAATCCGCTATGGCAAAGGTACAAGACGAAATGCGCCCAATATGCATGAGTCGAGAAGACCCAACTCGCATGAAAATAAATCTGTTACAACGGAGGGTCGAGCCAAATGGCACCCGAGGCGCATGAATTGAGAAAAATCTGGCTCGTACCAAGCAAAATCCACTAGCATGGAAGCACAAGGCAAAATTCACCTAAGACGTGTGAATCAGGAAGACCCAACTAGTGTGAAGAGAAACCTGCTACAATGGAGGATTGGGCCAAATGACACCTGAGGCACATGAGTCCAGAAAAATTCGACCTACGCTAAGTGAAATATGTCATGACGGAGTGGCAAGGCATAATATACTCGAGACACCTAATTTGGAAAAACTTAACCCACAAGATAAGATCCCCAATGATCTCATGTTGAAAAAATTAAACGACATGCTTCGAACGTAAGAGCCCTGAAGCACACCTTCCGGGGGGAAACAAATGATAGAGAATATATAATTAGCTAGCCATTGTCCGCCATGCAAACACCACATAAGGCTCATGGGGGTAAAGACTCAAACGACCCAACACTCGCTTGCTTGCGTGGATAGAAGTCTAAGAGGCAGCTCAAGTAGGTTACCAAGCTATCTGCCTTAAGGTATATTCACAAGAATATTCTCGAGAGTTCAAG